CCCCAGGCCACCCGTTCATCATGACCGTTGGCTGCGTGGCCGGGGACGAGGAGTCCTACGAGGTCTTCAAGGAGCTCTTCGACCCCGTGATCCAGGACCGGCACGGCGGCTACAAGCCCACGGACAAGCACCGCACCGACCTCAACCACGAGAACCTCAAGGTGGGGGTCCCAAAATTTGGGGGAACCGAAATTTGGGGGGTCCCGAAATTTGGGGGGTTCCAAAATTTGGGTGGGTCCCCAAAATCTGGGAGGGTTCCCAGAGGTCTCAGGAGGGAAGGAAGGGGTGACCCCACAAAGCCACTGATAAGCACCAACATCAACCAGGAGAAGATCAAGGTGGGGGACCCCAAAATCTGGGGGGGTCCCGAAATTTGGGGGGTCCCGAAATTTGGCGGTTTCCAAAATTTGGGTGGGTCCCCAAAATCTGGGAGGGTTCCCAGAGGTCTCAGCAGGGCAGGAAGGGGTGATGGGGCCACCATGGGGTGACCCCACAAAGCCACAGACCAGGAGAAGCTCAACGTGGGAGAGAGCCCAAAATTTTGGGGGGTCCCGAAATTTGGGGGGTTCCGAAATTTGGGGGGGGTTCCAAAATTTAGGTGGGTCCCCAAAATCTGGGAGGGTTCCCAGAGGTCTCAGGAGGGAAGGAAGGGGTGACCCCACAAAGCCACTGATAAGCACCGACCTCAACCAGGAGAAGATCAAGGTGGGGAGATCCCAAAATTTTGGGGGGTCCCGAAATTTGGGGGGTCCTGAAATTTGGGGGGTTCCAAAATTTGGGTGGGTCCCCAAAATCTGGGAGGGTTCCCAGAGGTCTCAGGAGGGCAGGAAGGGGTGACCCCACAAAGCCACCAATGATCAGGACAAGCTCCAGGTGGTGAGACCCCAAAATTTGGGGGGTCCTGAAATTTGGGAGGGGTCCCTAAATTTGGGAGACGTTTCCAAAATTTGGGAGGGTCCCCCAAAATTTGGGGGAGTCCCCAGAGGTCTCAGGCGGGCAAGGAAGGGGTGGTGGCCCCTCAAAACCACCTCAGGAGGGTTTTGAGGGGGTTTTTTGGAGGGAGATATTTTGGGTTTTTTTGGGTGGAATTTCGGGGTTTTTGGGTGGAATTTTGGGGTTTTTTTGGGTGGAATTTCGGGGTTTTTGGGGTGGAATTTCGGGGTTTTTGGGGTGACCCGTTTTCCGGGTGCAGGGCGGTGAGGACCTGGACCCCAAGTACGTGCTGAGCAGTGCGGGGGTCTCAGAGTGGGAGATTTTGGGGGAATATTTTGGGTCTATTTTGGAATATTTCGATGGGAGTTTTTTGGGTGGAATTTTGGGGTTTTTGGGTGGAATTTTGGGTTTTTTTGGGTGGAATTCCGGGGTTTTTGGGGTGACTCTTTTCGGGGTGCAGGGCGGTGAGGACCTGGACCCCAAGTACGTGTTTAGGAATGCGGGGGTCTCAGAGGGGGAGATTTTGGGTCTATTTGGGGGTATTTCGATGGGAGTTTTTTGGGGGTTTTTTTGGGTGGAATTTCGGGGCTTTTGGGTGGAATTCCGGGTTTTTTTGGGTGGAATTCCGGGGTTTTTTGGGGTGACTCTTTTCGGGGTGCAGGGCGGCGAGGACCTGGACCCCAAGTTCGTGCTGAGCAGTGCGGGGGTCTCAGAGGAGAGAATATTTTGGGTCTATTTGGGGGTATTT